CGCGTCTTTCGCAGGATAAAACTGTTTCAGTGAAATGGTTTGGTATTTCATTGGTGTTTATATGATAAATAGAACATTACATGGCCGCTTGGAGATACGAAAATTTCTCTTCGAGTGTTGAAAGCAGCGAACGAGTGAAATATTTTCAACAAGAGAAGAGAAATTTCGTATCTCCAAGCGGCCATGTAATATCCTCTCTATATATATCTTATTGGACGGTTTAGTGTGTAGTATCGTGGGATATTTTTACGAGTCAAAATACAAGAGACGGGTAAAAAATATCCCACGATACTACACACTAAACCGTTCAATAAGAGTTTTATTATTCAAATCGAGATGTTTTAAAATAGAACTCCGTAAATATACGTAAAACGAGAATGCGTGACAGATTAACGTGACTCCTTTTGCAACGTTGTTGCTGATTGGTCTAAAATGAAAGAATTGTCAAACTAGTTTACCCAGCAAATCAAATTTTGTCAGATTTCTCGGGTTTTCTTCGGCGCTTCGGGGTGTTACCTTTCAAACATTTGTTAGGAAAACAGTGATGGAATTACAAATTATTATGAGACTTATGATGGTCTTCCGGTTCTTATGTAAAACCGACTGGTAAACTGAGCAGAGCAAATTGCGATGGAAATACTAAAAATCTCCCACGAAATGAAGGAGTTTTAAAAAGCCACTCGTAAACAACGGACTTGAACCTCATCTCCGCCGGGTTTAGTACTAAAGTTAAGTCTTTAGAGAACGTCTAGAGTCTTCCATATGGAGTTTCCTCACATTTTAAAAGGACTAGAAGTGAAGACTGTTAAGCTCCTCAGCGGGGATTGTATTTAATCAGCGTTGTTTGAGTCACGGATTGTCATCGTCACCATGCATCTCATGTACACGTTCAGGTCTGTTGTTATCTTCTCTGTTGTATTTTGACCTTATATAAATGTTTCTTTGTTCTAACTATTTTTAATAAATGACGATATTTCATTGTCAAGGCAACTTTATTCTAAAACCTCGGTTTTATTTAACCCTACAATTTCGGGAAACGATGCATTTTCTGCCATGTGTGACGTTTGCAGAAAACCGGTCAAACCGGTCTTCTGGAGTACAAATAATGCTGTGAGATATTTGTACTCGTTTTGGATGTTGTTTGTACCCTACTGAGTGAAGTTGAATAATAAACAATGTTATTTGTATTAAGAAAATGTTTTCTAGCTTAGTGGAAGAGCATCTAGATAGAAAGAACTGTAGAGAGAAAGGTTGTAGTTTCCATCACACCCGGACCGACTGAGAAAAATATTTTAAAGAGTCACATCTTTGTTTCTCTTTTTTTAAATTTTATAGAAACGTGTTGCTGGTGTGTATCAGCCTGGCTGTTGCTGGTCTTGGGGGAGGAATTTCCCTTGCGCCAATAATGCCAGATTTAATAAGAACCGCCAGGTAACATTTTTGCTATTGAAAGATGCCTAGTTGTGACAACTTATCCTTTCATTCCACATGCAGCTGGGCGAAAGTACAGTCAACATTGGGCTTATGTTTTTGTTATTCTCTGGGGTGTTCACTCTTTCTGCAGCAGCAGTTACCTTTATTGTTGATAAGACGGTGAGTTTATTTATTAATAACCAGGATGTTTGTCGTTGTTGTTGTTGTTGTTGTTGTTGTTGCTTTTGTTATTATTTCTTTAAAATATAGTAAGCGCCGTCTTATTCACCTCTCTTCTCTTGTTAACCCTCTTTACAAGCCCAGCATAAATTAAACTGCATTAAATATACTTTTTCTGTTGTTGTTGTTGTTTAATCAAAATCTCGTGTTCTGACCGAAAAGCAGTAAAACTACTTTATTTCCTCACACAAGAATTAATTACTTTGTCACACAAAAGGTGCCAATCTCGAAGGAATAAATCAAAACAAAAGCATTCACAACAAGCTTAGAAAATGTTTTACATAAAAACTCGTGGGCCCGATCGTTCAACGGAAAAACACACCTTCTCTGGATCTCGACAATTTTTTTTAAATGAAATGGAATTGGAAAAGCATTCAACTTGTCCATGCGGGGAAGAAGCTATTAAAGCTGGTGTGCGTAAATTTCGGTGCTTCACCTAGCAAGAAATGCGCTAAACATACTGAAGATAAACCTTTGATAAGTTTCCCCAGCTCAATCACACTATGGACAAATACGATCAACCCTGGCCTTTTTTGTTGTTACAATTTCCTATTCTTGTTACCGATTGAAATCGTTCAGTTCAATTCAAGAGTATCTGAAAAAGAAAAGCGGTACCGCTTATGGCAAGAAAAAGCAGTCGAAAAACACTGAAATACGAAAAAAAACCACAAGTCAATTTCAACGAGTTACTACAATGGGCCCTGAAGTGCGTTGTGTGTACATACGTTCATTTCTCATATAATTTTTTATTTTTATTTTTTTCGTTAGAAGAGGTACCGAGGCTTCCTTATTTTGGGCTTCACTAGTTTTGGTATTGGATATCTTATGCTCGGTCCTGCACCGTTTCTGACTTTTCTTCCGCAAAGGTTTGTAACGACATGAAGAAAACGAATTCGAATGGGGTAGAATGCAAATAATTTTAAAATTGGAAATATCTGAATGGCGTAACTCTTCATCAATCAAAAAAAAAAACATTAAAAAAAAAAAAAACAGTTTTGTAGTTTCTACAAACCAGACAAAACAAGACATTTTTGCCTTTTACAAAAAATTCTGTTTGACAGATTTTTTTTTTTTTTTTATAAACAATGTTACACACAAAATCGTGAACTTTATGCTATGCTGCCAGGTTAAAAGAAGAAAACAAGGCTAAATTCAGCAAGTAAACACACATTGCCGGCTCCGCTGTGTGGCCAGTACCTCACGCATGCGTACAGCCATATCACCCGGGCAGTGGCATCCATGGACAGCTGTGTCGCCGTTATTAGGACTTGGCAGTGTGTGCTTACTGGCTGTATTTAGTATTGTTTATATGAAAAAAAGCCTTTAATTGAAGGGTTCTCGGTCCCCATTTTTTAGGGGCCACGGTTTCTTAAGTTTATATATTTATTTTTTTACGACAATTTGAGTTTCTTTTAGAACATAAATTATATTTTACATTAATTGCAGTTACTAACACTTAAATTGGCTTCTGATGCTAAAAATATAACAATTTTATAATGGTGATATGTTTCCTTGCTGAATAAGACGATATATAAGTCGGCGGAGTCTATAACAGAGTCCACCTTGGAATTCGATCTAGCAAGTTTATATCACCAGCTGAATTGTTCAAGCGTCATAGCGGATTGGCCGTGATGTTGCTTTCCATATGAGAAAACTGACAATTCAAATTGTAAATCTATCTCTCTTATTGTTGGTGATGACATTGACTGAATGTGCGTCGCTCTCACAATACTTGATTCTCGAACTCTTGATATTCAGTTAAGGTTACTCTGTGGAAGTGTCCTAGTTCCAGACGCGTAAATGGCGATGGCCAAAATCGATATATATATTTATTATATGAACACCAATAAAATACCAGGTGAGCTTTCGCGCGAAAACATGATATCTTCACATGTGAAAATAACTTGTTACATATCAACGTTGCTATAGCTACATAATAAATCGCGCCTTTCGCAGGATAAAACTGTTTCAGTGAAATGGTTTGGTATTTCATTGGTGTTTATATGATAAATAGAGTATTACATGGCCGCTTGGAGATACGAAAATTTCTCTTCGAGTGTTGAAAGCAGCGAACGAGTGAAATATTTTCAACAAGAGAAGAGAAATTTCGTATCTCCAAGCGGCCATGTAATATCCTCTCTATATATATCTTATTGGACGGTTTAGTGTGTAGTATCGTGGGATATTTTTACGAGTCAAAATACAAGAGACGGGTAAAAAATATCCCACGATACTACACACTAAACCGTTCAATAAGAGTTTTATTATTCAAATCGAGATGTTTTAAAATAGAACTCCGTAAATATACGTAAAACGAGAATGCGTGACAGATTAACGTGACTCCTTTTGCAACGTTGTTGCTGATTGGTCTAAAATGAAAGAATTGTCAAACTAGTTTACCCAGCAAATCAAATTTTGTCAGATTTCTCGGGTTTTTTTCGGCGCTTCGGGGTGTTACCTTTCAAACATTTGTTAGGAAAACAGTGATGGAATTACAAATTATTATGAGGCTAATGATGGTCTTCCGGTTCTTATGTAAAACCGACTGGTAAACTGAGCAGAGCAAATTGCGATGGAAATACTAAAAATCTCCCACGAAATGAAGGAGTTTTAAAAAGCCACTCGTAAACAACGGACTTGAACCTCATCTCCGCCGGGTTTAGTACTAAAGTTAAGTCTTTAGAGAACGTCTAGAGTCTTCCATATCGAGTTTCCTCACATTTTAAAAGGACTAGAAGTGAAGACTGTTAAGCTCCTCAGCGGGGATTGTATTTAATCAGCGTTGTTTGAGTCACGGATTGTCATCGTCACCATGCATCTCATGTACACGTTCAGGTCTGTTGTTATCTTCTCTGTTGTATTTTGACCTTATATAAATGTTTCTTTGTTCTAACTATTTTTAATAAATGACGATATTTCATTGTCAAGGCAACTTTATTCTAAAACCTCGGTTTTATTTAACCCTACAATTTCGGGAAACGATGCATTTTCTGCCATGTGTGACGTTTGCAGAAAACCGGTCAAACCGGTCTTCTGGAGTACAAATAATGCTGTGAGATATTTGTACTCGTTTTGGATGTTGTTTGTACCCTACTGAGTGAAGTTGAATAATAAACAATGTTATTTGTATTAAGAAAATGTTTTCTAGCTTAGTGGAAGAGCATCTAGATAGAAAGAACTGTAGAGAGAAAGGTTGTAGTTTCCATCACACCCGGACCGACTGAGAAAAATATTTTAAAGAGTCACATCTTTGTTTCTCTTTTTTTAAATTTTATAGAAACGTGTTGCTGGTGTGTATCAGCCTGGCTGTTGCTGGTCTTGGGGGAGGAATTTCCCTTGCGCCAATAATGCCAGATTTAATAAGAACCGCCAGGTAGGCGCTCTTTTGCTATTCCTGATGAAAATGAGATAAGTGAATGTGTCTTTTTATGTTTTAAAGAGGATAAATATTTGGTTTGTAGACAATGAGTTGGCAGTTAATATGACTAACACAGACTTCGTACTAATTGAGAGGAGAAGTGTGACGTCACGTTACCATGGTAGAAAAATTTCTGGATCACAACAACAGGGAGTCTTTCAACGGCGACGGCGAACAGCAAAAAAACAGTAGGTTTAGATTGGCAAAGAAAAAAAACAACTTTGCACGTGCATCGCCCTTTTTTTCCCTTCTTATAGCCATTGTTGCAAGACTGCGACATGAAACTTCCTAATTTCACGCCCCCGGTTCATGGAGTAGGTCAGAGTACAACACAAAAATTTTCTTTTTTTCCTTTTAGATTTAACCCAGAAAATTTCGCCAACATTTGACAAATTAAATGAAATTAAACAAGATCGATGAAGTTTGAAACAGTAGTGCGAATCCACCTAAGTACCGTTTTGGTTTGTTGTCATCCAGAAATTTTGCTACCATGACAACTTGGCGTAACGACTTCTCCTCTCTGTTGGCTTTAGAAAGAAATGTCAAAAATTAAGAAAGTTCCTTATATCACCATCCATGGGATTCTTGTATAGCAGGTTTCTTCAGCAAAGTCACCGGATCTAACCACAGATAAAAAGCTAACTGGTACGAGTACCACGGAAATAAGCTAACAATAACAGAGTTACGAATTAATACGATCAAGGCAGAATTCGTACCAATTGGCTTTAGACAAAAATTGTCAAATGTTAGGGAAGTTCCTGATCGATATCACCATCAACTATGACTGAGATTCCTCCTGTTAAGCAGGTTTCTTCAGCAACGTCACTTGGGCTAACCATTCATTAAAATCTAACGAGGCAAAACCATAATTATAATCTTTAACTCATGACAACTTGCAAAATCGAGTTTGTTTTTCTCTGCACGTTGAAAGTGTGCTTTTTATTTCTAAAATACAACCATTAGACCAGATTAGTTTGAACATTCTCCACTATGGTCTCCAAATATTTTCTTTTGTACGAAAGGAAACATTTATTTCTAAATCAATATTTCTCTACCGTACTTCAGTAATAACTGCTTCTTTACCTGAGTAAAATGTGGCAATAAAAATTGTTCATTCATGTTGTTTTTAATTTACAGGAAAGGCGGAATGCCTGACAATTTATCCTCAAATGCCGCTCTATCGAGTATTTTTGGGAGCATGTTTTATTTAGGGTAAGTTTTGCATTTTGTCAACACTGGGTTTTTTCAGTCAGTTTGACTTCGTAATTCGCGTAAATATAGCACATGTCTTGTAACAAAATGGAATTAGATAGATAGATGGATGGATGGATGGATGGACGGACGGACGGACGGACGGATGGACGGACGGATGGATGGATCATTCCGTACAAATAGCAATAGCTATAAAATGTTATACTGTACAAAACTTAAAAAAAAGCGAGGCTCCCATTAATAAATTTATAATTTAAATTAAACAATAAACTTGTATTCGAATTCCACAATTCAGTTAACTTTAGAGCACATTTATGTGACTTTTGAGGGAAAGGCTACCTGATTTTAGAGAAAAATAATTTGCAAACAGCCCAAGAGTGAACTAAATCTTACATCGAGTTGATAGCCTCATATGTACACCCAAAAACTGGTAATCATCTTCGATCACATTTAAGAGCCATAATGGCTCTTGATCACCGTAGATTAATTAGTGGGAAAAAAAATCAGGTCAACTTTTGCGTTCGACAACTTTACTTTGCAAAATCTTGTCAACAAATCTGGGTGCGTGTAAACCAACCTTTTATACCATTTATACATCACATCTGAGGTGAAACAGTAGTATGAGGCACTGTTTTTATCATACCGGCAGACCTCGGACAGAAAGCAGTATTTCACAATACAAATTGCACTCATTCAATATTAATAAACTATTAAAAAAAATTCCAAAATCACCTATACGGCCATCCGGTTCTCACTTGTAGTGCGAGCTGTGGCGAGTGTTTGAATGAACATTAACAGAGTTACGCTCCAACATTATAAAGAATTTATTCTTTTTATTTTTTATTTAATGGTTTATTAACGCGCGGCATTTTGAGTACTCCTGCAAGCGATGTTCACTGAACGACTGAAAACAGTCGGCACAGCGATTAAAATTACAAGAGAGACTACTAACAATCAATAAAAGAAATATAATTCGGTGAAACATATACAGAAACAACAATTTTCATTCAGAAAGACAAGTATTAAAGTATCCCTAAAAATCCTGAGTCTTCAAGCTTCAAGCTTAAGTTTGTGTTTTAAGCCGACTTCCCGGTGTTTGCTTTTTTTTAAAGACGAACTCGAGGCAAGAAAATCGCTCAAAGCTTTCCTTTCCGGCCAGAATTATAACTAAATATTCTTTGGAACGTTTTCTTTCTATTTGCGGTGAGAAACTGTCTAAAGGCTTTTTAAAGTTCTGTAAGCTTATATCAAACCTGATACTCGGTCAGATCATTGTCTCAAATCTTACAAACGTGCATAAACTAAATGACCGCATAAACTCCGCTCGACTTCATTAAATTAGATCCAAAAAAACAACCATCAAATACAATAATTGCTCTGGCTTACCATTCGAGATGCAGCTCCTAAAAGGTATCAAGAAAAGCCAGTATCGCTTCAGACTTTGCAATCCTCCTACGCATGAAGCAAGGTGAAAACGGAAAACGATGCCATCCGAAATCGGATTTCCGACTTTGACAAGCGACGTATTCCTCAACCAAAAACCCAATAAACAAACTAGCCATGAATAACAGAGGACTCCTGATAGCAGCTGAATTTCATTTTGCACATCCAGTGGAAAAAGACAGTTAAAAACATCACAAGTTGACACAAAACTCTGTCAGCTTCAGCTGTCAAAGTAAACAAGATTCAAGATGCTGCATAAATTTTCCGCATGAACTCACCTGTCAAATTTTGACCAATCAGAGCATAAAAATTGGACGTAGAGCGTGACCAACGCGTGACCATGGTGAGAAAAGTCAAAAGCAACTGTCTTCCCTGCCTGTAACAGCTGGCTGAATTTTCGCGTCCGAGGTCAGTTTGCAATCAAAATTTTAATTGTGTAGCACATAAACACAACATATTTCATATGAATTTAGAAAAAACTTGAACTTGAGCCTGCGATCACTTGAAAACTAGTAACTTGTCAGCGGATAACTTCAAAAAAATACTTGACCTCGATGGGTCGACACCTGAGCCCGCGATACGGTCAAGTGATACTGGTCAGCGGGTACCCTGTTTTGACAGCTGTCAATTGATCAAAACATTGATGTCCAATATGTGTGCATTATCAGTTTAACTAGTAAAAGTATGAGATTGAACATTGTTCGCGATCTAGTAAAACAATTAACTGGTCAGCGGACAGCTTCCAAATAAATCACGTCACCTCGATGAGTTGACACATGAGCCCGCGATATGGTCATGGGATACTGGTCAGTGGCTATCCTGTTTTGACAGCTGTCAATTGACCATATTGTGAATGTCCTAAAATCCTATATTAAAGATGTGGACTTGCCAAGACACGCCTGAGACACCCCTCCCTTCCTTTTGATAGTCTCCCCTACCCCACCCGTACAATCTGTAGACGCGTACGTACGTATGTACGTACGTACGTACGTACGTACGCTCGGTCAATCACGTGACAACCAAACGAAAAGAGGTTGACCATATTCCATGAGTATGGGGCTCTGTCCCACGCGCGCTTCGCGCGCGCGGGAGCCCCGCTAAAAACTTGATTACTGGAGCATAATACAACAGTTATCAGCTTTCTGTAAAGCCAAGTTGTGCCAGATAAACCGTGTTAAACATAGTGTATTCAATCAGCAAACGTTGTGGTGCGGGATAAGCAGACAATTCTTAGCCCATTTATTGAACTAACCAACTAATCGCAAACAAAAACAATTGTTTACACTGCTTAGACACCAAAAAATCAAACAATCTGTATACGTTTGATCGGCCAAAGTAAAGGAATAAACAAAACCACTTAAAATAACTGTCAATCATCAGAAAAATAAAACTGAAATCGTTACGAAGAAATGGATTACAGGATTTTAATCAAAATATAAAAAAGAACCAAATTTAACTGTCCGCTTGTAAATATCCGCAATGAAACTTGCTTACTGTTCAGCGAATATACACTTGCTACTTTACACATCACACTTTCTTCGCATAATCTCATACCGGCACTTAAAACACACTGCCGGCAAATGCACCTGTGCTTGGGAATTCAAGAAACCATTTATCTTTTGTTTGATTGCTGCATTCAGCCGATTCAAGCAAAGATAAATGAACAGTTAATTATTACTCTGCTATTTCGTCTAGTACTTCTGAAAGCAACATCGAGAAAATACAACTTTTTTTTGTTTGTTTTTAATTGCAAGTAAAAAACCCCCCCAAAAAAAGAAAAATACACGGAATAAATAGATGAATAAAAAGAAAAAAATAGCGAATTTACCCACTTACATGGCAATACTTAAATTACAAATATCAAACTAGATTACAGCAGTACTAATTCCATATATTACTGTTCTTAGTATAATCTATAATTAATGTTTACATATTTTTTTGCTTTCTTTGTGGTGAAAGTAATATAACAAATATTCATGGTAGGTGCAGATATTACTAACACTTGTTTAGAATTTTGCAACAAGTATTACTGGGAGGCGAGAGTTTGATAGCATTACTCCGGCTTTACGTGAATTGAAATGGCTTCCCATTAAAGTCGTCTTTCTAAAAACGCACTAGTAACATTCAAATGCCTTAATTGTTTGACACCTTACTATTTATGTGAGAAATTTATCAAAAGAAGTCGTACACAGTCGTTCCACCAGCAACAGTATGGATACATACCGGATCCCCAAGTATCGTACTGCATGTGGGTCAAAGAACTTTTTCATGCATAGCAACTAAGATTTGATTCTTTTAAAATGTTAAGGTGCGGTTGGTGCAATATGTCTGTTTTTCTCATACGCAGATAAAATATTTCATTCTACTTACGATTTGAGGGGAAGTTTGCTCGTTGCACCTTGCCCTGTTGCCATTTCTGTCTTCTAAAAACTGTGTCAAAAAGGCAGAAACTGTTCTTAAATTCAACTTAAAATATAATTGAGCATCGATTGACCGGAAATCAAAAAGAAAAGTAAAAAAAAACGCTACAAAAGCAATGAAATCTAATAAATCACTCCTCCGGCAGGAGGACGTCGTTTGTCAGGGGTATGCCATGCACAATGGACCTTCTCAACCGCACTTTGACGGTGGTGTCTTCTTGAAAAGTCCTCAGACTTAAGCTCCTTATAGAGTACTAAAGTGATGACGTCATAAAAATTAAATTTGTGAAACTATGGGATTCGTCGTGAAGAGGCCTACTTGCCAAAAACTAGCATTGTGGGGCAAATTGTCTCTGAGATATTAGCCCAGTTACGCTCTGATGACTCCATACAAATCCTTCTAAATTTCCTGAAATTTGACTTGGGTCTAAACGTTATGAAAAAATGAAAAAGAATAAGCTATGAAGAGGTGTTTTTAGTTTCCTGACCTGTTTTCAATTTAAGCCAACACGTTGCTTTTTCAAGGTTATCCAAGTCTTCAAGATGTTTTCTTGTTCATTTGTTATTCACAGAGCCACTATTGGGCCAAGTATTGCCGGAGTTACTGACGAACACTTAGGTTTCCAGTGGTCAACAAGTGTAAGTTACATTTTAACCAGTAAATCTCGCTTGTCTCTCTTGTATTCAAAGCCCAAAGGCGAATGCGTGTGATTTGCTGCACAGTGATCAAGGATATACTGTTATCGCTATGTGTATACCTGTGTGGTACTGCTATTATAGCTCCGTCTTTGCCCATGTTGAAGGCCACAGTTAAAAGCTATCTATCCTGATAACATGCTACCCAGCTACAATGGAACTTCGATTAAACTAAGTGCCAAGGGACTGACCAAATACGCTCGCTAAAACGAGGTTTCGTTATATGGAAGTTCTTTACCATATATTTTACTATTTGGGGCAGAGAATATCGCAAGTTATATCGAAGACTTCATTGTATAGAGGTTCGTTAAATCGAGGTTCCACTGCCACGATTAGCTTGCGATATTAACAATTACCAAAAGATAAAGTTACGTAACTCGAGGGAAGTAAATAATATGAACAAGTAAGTGTTTAGATAGCAGCAACAATATAGATAGCCGCATAAAGAAAACAACTTTCCTTTCATGTTTCTACTTTACGTCCCTCATCTTCAGTGTTACATATTGTGAGATCGCTGTTGAATCAGAATCCATGTTGATAACATGAAAAACCGACTCTCTCCCTGCAAGTAGTTTAGCGTTATGAATTTAGACGTTTAACTACCCAATATTCAGAATATTGTCAACGCAATGTAACCAATGCAACATCGCGCGCAATTTACGGCCGATACACACGAGGGGCTTTGATCCCGGAAAATGCTCCAGCCTCATTTTGCACGTGTCAGTACACACAAGGGAGCGTTTTCAAGTTCGCTCAATTTGCCCCTGTTAAATATCGTGGAGCATTTTGCGGGGTGGAAATTCTGCTTCCGAGGATGAAGTATACCCACGAAATCGTTGGTACACACGGAGGAGCTTTGCTCCGGAAGCGTGCCCCTGGAGCATGCTCCGGGAGAAAAATCCCTCGTGTTTATCGGCCTTTAAATTTGCGTGCGAACTCACTATAGAGGCCTTAAGATTCTAGGGCGAGAACGACTACGACTACGACTACGAGATTTAACTAAAAGTTTTTTCGCGTATTCACAAAAAGTAGACACCCCGGAAAGCTTCACTGTACTTTTTTTCATTAAAAAAGATAGCACTGTTATCTATATTGAAGGAGGTTAAGCCCACTCTCGGTCGCAAAATGATAAAACTCGTTTGCGCCATTACGACATTCTCGCTAAAACTCGTAGTAGAATGACGATGGCTACCAAGTTTTCCCGCCAAAATGACGCTGGTCCACGCGCGCGCACTACCGGCTTAGTATTGAGGAAATCTCGTACTTGTCTTAGAATCTAAAGGTCTCTAATATAACAATGAAGATGAAGGATGTACCCTCGAAACAATACACCTCTTTAGCTTGTATGTTTAGTTTTCCCAATACAGGTCATGTGATAATACTCTAGGGAACCGTTTCTTTCAAATTTCGTCTTATTCACGTGCATATCTACGCATAATGTATGAAAAGACAATGGGTCAATTCCCCCTGGGACCTCTATTGGGAAAACAAAACATACAAGCTAAAGAGGATTTTTGTCTAATAAATTTGTAATTCAAAGTTGTTTTGGTTATGCGGCTATCAACATGTAAGTGCTAGAATATGAAATATCCTCACGGCATACCAGAATATCAAATGTATTTTCATTATTATTATGCGTCTTTATTTCTTTTCTCTTCTATTCTTTTTTTATAGATCGCAGGCTTTATCTGTGTTGCTCACGTAAGCAATTCATATTTTACCTTATTAGTTCAATGTTTTTTGTTTTTTTTTTCTTTCTGTACGCTTATGAATAATTCAATAAATTACAAATCAACAGATTCCTTTGGGAATAAAAAAATGAAGAAATAAATTTATTCTATTCCCTCATTTTGAAATCACTGGTGATCCTTACGATCTGATTGGCTCTCAGCAGTATGATTTATTCACGAATCACCACTGTTTTTTCCTGTAAATCAAAGATGTTCTAAATCGCGTCATTAATGTTCTAAATCACGTCATTTCTGTTTTAAATTGCACCATTTCAGCTCAATGTCGCATCGTTTCAATTACAAGATGAAATGTAAAAGCCTCCTTGTTCCCGCTTTTCAACAAACCTCTAATATATTTGCTTCTTAATTCTTTTCAGGCCCTGCTGTTGTTAATATTTACGGTGTTTAAACCTATCTCTGATTGGTTAGTAAATAATTAGCTTGTATGTTTTGCTTTCCCAATTCAGACCACATCAATTAATCAATCAACACATTTATCTCACTACTTTAAACACACAGAACAAAAGCTGATTTCCTGGTGGGAGTAGACAAACACGCATTACAAACAAATAGAAGCAGTATAGTGTTTACAAAAGTTACAAAGTTTCAGTGAAAAACTAATTACGTAAAAAAGTATACAATATAGCTAGTTTTGATGTTCTCCAGGGAATTTGTACTTTAATCTTTTCATAAATCATGCAAACAACTCATACTTTTGTTCTTGGGCCATCGTAGCGTAATAAAAATAAAACACAAACAGCGGTGATAACACGTGATAAACATTGTGAGCTTTCGCGTTTTTGTATAAACATGACGCTTCAGTATGCTAGTTAACACACACGTGGCCCAAGCGTAACATAAGTTTGTATGGGAAAATAAAGAGTTTGTATGGGAAATTAGACTTAGATAAAAGAAATGAACTAAAAGCGATAAAAGTTATCAATTAAGTGTAAATATTATTACCTGGCGTCGTTTTCTTTGTCAGCGCGATTTTGAGTATTTTTATTATCACACTGTCAGGCCAAATGATGTAAAAGTACTCAAATCGCGCTGAAACTTCGTAAAAACAAAGACGACGACACCAGGTAACAATATTTACCCTTTACTGATTGCTTTTATGGCTTTTAGTTCATTTATTTCATCAAAGTTTCGTTTCCCATACAAACTCTCATATTACGCTTGGGCCACCTGTGGTCAACATACATTTTCAAAAGTGATCTAAAGTGACCGTTGCAGATTATGGCGAGACTTTATACAGATTGACAAGGAGTCTGGAAATGATCTCAGTCTCAAAAGATTAAGGGCCCGTCCGCACTAGCAGACAATTTTGTATTTGTCTTTAAAACCGATCTTAAATGAAAAATTTATCGTGGTAATTTCTGCTTTGAAAATATTATCTGCAATGGAAGCTATTTACTCTGAACAGGCCGTGGTACTGTCATTGCTTAATGGAAAGAATAACGGCTTTACAACCAATGATTGACAAGAAAAAAACATGTTTTCGTCTATTTAGTCGATTTTGTCCAGTGTTTACACGGGACAAATTTCGCCCTCAGTGCCTTTGAAGATCGTCCCGTCTGGGGAAAAAATTGTAAAATCCCGACAAACTATCCGCATTAGTTAAGCAAGGGTGGCTAAATCACGTGGGCAGGTGGGTCGTGGGTCGTGGGTTGTGAGTTGCGTGCGAGTCCTGCGTCTTACGTGTTTTAACACTTAAAAGTCTACGCGTAGTTTTTGAATAAAGCGAGACCGGTCCATCTCTTTTCCTCCGAATATCAAAACGGTTTGATATCTGTAAAAAGAAATTCAGAGAGTAACCAGAATGTAAAGATGTTTAATATTTTTAATTATATTATGCAAAGATTATCTAATTAGTTGCTTGGGAACGCTCTCATATAATTGGCCAAAAACTAATGTTGCCCACTAGAGTGCAAGCAAAAATAAAAGTGTAGTAGGAGAGAGAGGTCTTGGGTCGTGGGTCGTGGGTCGTGGGTAACTGTTGTGGGTAAAAAAAAGTGTAGAAAAAAACATGATAAAGTAAAGTAATTGAAAAAAAGAAATAAATAGAAAAAAGTTGTAAAATATTTATGAAACGAAAATCTCCAACTTCTTGTTGCCTTTTTCGACACGGCTTCTTCTTCGTCCTCTTACTGATATTTCCTTAGCTGCGTGGGACATTGCTCCCCTTTCACAACATCACTGTATAAAAGACATGTTGCCGATGAAGATCTATCTATACCTGAGCTATCGCCGCGAAATAAACGAAACAGAAGTAAATTAAACCTGCAATTTGCAGAAAGTATGGGACAGCTCTGACTCGCCGAATAGACTAGCTGATCTACAATTGCAATGATCAGCGAAGATTTTTTTCAAAACACAGTGGAATGCGATCACCGTGAGAAAGGTGAGGGAAAAAGGGCAATTTTGAGGTATTTCATATTTTTGGATAAAGTCTTTCTTAAAGAAGTTTTAGGTCTCTTACCTTACGAAGGAACCACCTGCATTCCCAACCTTTCGAGTTAAGGCGAGACTGTATGTAAATTTTATTGCCGTACGGAAATACAATTTTCTCGCTTCTTTTTTGTTGTGTTTTGTGCACAAAATCTTTGCTGTAATAATTCGAAATATCATTCCTTAAACTGAAAGGACGTTTCGGTCACAAATGTTGACATCTTTGTGAAAAAGCAGTTCAGTCTTCAGTTTTTCTATGGCCTGCTTCAGGTTTACATAGTATACAAAGTTTCTTTTATTTTTCACCTAAATGCCTTTTTAGTGTCGGTTTGTACTAAGAGGATTCGCGTAAATATATGCTTTGCTGACCACGTGGAAGGGGAATAGGACTGGTATGTATGCGGAGATTTTCGTTTCAAGAATTTTACAACTTTCGCTATTTATTTTTTTTAATTGTTATCTTTTTGGAAGACTTTGTTTTTACCCACGACATTAACCCACACCCACGACCCACTACCCACGACATTTAGCTACACTCATGTAGTAGCAGTGTTGTACGCGCCAGTCCTGCTACTGATATTAACACACTTGCCTTATTTGTTAGTCGGCGCAGCCTGAATTTTTTTTTTTCAGTACCCGAGGAAATTTGCTAGAAGAGGTAGTGAAAATTCGTGAAAATTGTTAAATTTAAAAGTGAAAAACTGGGAACGCGTGGTGGGTGTAAAGTTATCAAAAAAAAAATAACAAACAAACCAAAAAAGCCTATGTTCATGAAGTGGGGGACCCCGGTCTAGAGGGGTACTTTTCTTTTGTTTTGTGTCCCACAGAGCGTGAAAACAAAAAAAACCAATCCCACTAGACTGGGGTCCCCCACTCCATGTAAACAGGCCCTAAATCAACATCTAAATGCATTCAAACACCTCCACCAGGTCTATTAGGAAGGTGTTTATGAATAAAGTTATACATAACCATCAATATCAAAGGTATGATTAGAGTGTGTTAGCCACGTTTCAGAAATCTCTATAACAGAGAAATTGCTTTTGATACTAGCCAAATAGTTGACCAAGTTATCAAAATTGCGATTAAGACTACGGATATTCAAATTGAGCAACGAAAAACGAATGGCGGAATGACCAGAAGAAGAGCTAGTTTTGTCCAATAACGGCATTAAATTTGTGTTCTGTATAATATTCACATTGAAGTTTATCAAAGTTAAAATTAGAGTCTGGATCCAAATCACCAGAATTAGAAGGATTTGTAAGAGGAAAACAACTCTTACCACCCAGTCACGCTCTTAGGTGGTGTGAAGTGGGAAAACAAAACATACCAAGCTAAAAACTGGCCTATTAACCAAAACTAGTATGAAACCCCTGGTTTAGGTCTTGGTTTTCAACGACACGACAAGACAGCCATGTTGGGGGTCAAAACAACAGCATTTTTTCGCGAAGAATTAACAGCAAAATAGAGTTTAGTTCCCAAAGGAGAGAAATGCGCTTTTTCTTCACCACCAATATGGCCGCCGTGACGTCAAGTGCAAACCAGCAATAGCTCAGCAAGAGACCATGTCCCTTTTTCCTCCCTGGAGCTCTCTTATTCCAGGAAGCCTTTTGACTCGGAACACAACAACGAATCAAAGAGGTCGTCAAGATATGCTATTATTGAACAAGAGCTTACTTTCTTGACTTATGACTTAAAACGTTTTGTCCTTTACGAGGCAAGGAATGCCGGTCACATGGAATTATTTCGTACTAACTGAGGATACAAGAATGGTACCAACAACTTATTAACGAGCCATTTCATCATCGGCAGAATCCTTTGAAAAAACTGCAAGGATTTTTCAGGCTACTTGTTATTCAAAATTCGTCTGCAAGTTTTCCACCAGAGTGACAGTCACATTTTTGTCCTTGGTGAAACAACTGTTGTGCTTTTTGTTATAATTAGTGGGATTCCATTAACAGTTCTGTTAAGAGGAAAATGGCCAAGTTGTATAAAATTAAATTAGTTAAGCAACAATCTTTTAATTTCTCTCATGATCTTCGTAGAAAATGCTTCGTCCCCTCGTGCAAGATTATGTTCAAAAATGGCAAGGACAATTCAGCAGTTTCAGTTTTCAAGCGCGCGCACCCTGTGAATCAGAAAGATCGGTTTTAGCCCCAAAAATGGGGCCGTTTCGGAGAGTAAAATACAGTCCTATTATTGAGTCTAATTTGGCTCCCTTAAATCAGGGCCAATAGCACCAATTACCTAGAGATAATTTGGACCCAAGGGTTAAATAGGCCCTAGCATGGCTTGTAGTGGTCTATCTCACTTTCACACTCTTGTATGGGGGCATCATCACTCATTCCTTCAGTACTTGTAAACTGCACCTTAAGCAGTCTGGCAAAGTCCCCCAACCAGTGTTGTAAATTATCCCTGAAAAGCCCTGTGGGGAGTGGATAATAAGATATTTACAGAAAAGACTTTTGATCGGGCTGTTTTGGCTTAAATTGTACTCAAATGGCCCCAGGAGGGGCTGAATAAGACTTTGGCCTGCAGGGCTGAATTGGCACTTTTGGGCTGAAACAGATCTTTTTTAATTTTCAGGGTACCTTTTCTTAGTAACGTAAAGTAAAACGGTTAAACTTTATTTCTGGGTGACCCAATCAGCTCGGGAGGTGGTCTCCATAGAAATAAAAACAAACAGCAAAAGAGAGCACTGCTGATCCTAAGGATCATTGCATTGTAACATATAGAAGATGGAAATAATATCACATCTCCTAATAGTCGTTCCTTATATGTTTTCAGGGTCAGAGATAATAATTCTGGTCTTGCTGAAGAAGAGGAAAAACCTATGCTTGGAAACTCTAGATCCTAATGGGAGCCACAAAAGCGGGGAAAAATACGAACTTCCCTATTAAATGTTAAGCCCCGTCCACACGTCGCCGTTTTTGTTTTTCTCCAGTTTGGCCAACCGTCCGGTAACAACAGTCACGTAAAACGCGTCCGATTACAAAAACGCTCACTGAACTTGAGATTTTATTTAAAACACGACATCTTACTGTATTTGTTTGGATGGCGGATTATCTGTTTTTCCATTGTTTGAGTGGAGTGCCCTGTAACTGAATGCACTTACATTTTTAACAGAGATGTCCCTTTTTTAACAAGCGAAACGTTTGAGGTTGTTGTCCTCTTTTCGCTGTTCTTCAAGATTCATTATTTAATTCTCAGTACCTCAGTATTCTACAGTTCAAGTAAATTAGCATTCACGCATCCAAATCGGCTCGCCTCTTTCACTTCTACTTTTCGAGGATTAATAGTGTGATTTAACAGAACGATTCGCTGAAAAAGGAAAAACCGAAATATCCTGATAAGATATTCGCTCAAAGGGTGAAAAAACTCTTAGAAAAAAACTACTTACACTAGCGTGAATGTCCGGGTCTTCGTTTCTAAATCTGAATTCTCCTGTTCATGTCCACTGCTAGCTCAAAACTGAATTTTTAAATATCGCGCTAGAATGCAAAATACCCTTAGGGAATTTAGGGGACGCGTTGCTATCGGCAACGCGGATTTAATTTATAACAGAGGTTATAAATAAAATAAAATAAAATAAAATATATATAAAATAAAATAAAATTAACTTTAATATGAAATTTTCATACAGAAACCTCAAAGAAATAATTCCTCTATTGAACTAGAGTATCTCAAATTTATTGACAAAAAGGAAGATTAATTCGGCGCGCCTTATACTACCAGCTTGGGGCTGAAAAGAATCTATTTCTTTTTTCCTCAGAAATCTTTAAGGAAACAAAATTTTCCAAGGATGAATAAATCGTTATTTGTCTCTGTGCGAAAGAAAATAAGTTGTACAAATAGTAACAACAATAATAATAATAATAATGGAAACTTTATTTGTGTTTTTGAATGTACAATTGTAAATCTCGCTACGTATAGGCAATTTACAAATGCTGCTTGAGATTGGATTATTAAAAAGAAAACAAAAACAAAAAAAACAAAAACAAAACAAAAGCCAAAAAAAAAATCAAAAGATGTAATATGTTGCTCTAATGGCTATATTTATCATTTTCTTGAATGTATAACGTTGCTGCTTTTTGTCAATGCCAATGTCATTCATCATGTCTAAGAACGTGGAGCATTCATCGGAGAAAACGCCAAGGGAACTGATGGAGAGATTTACAAATCTCACACATCTGTAATTTCTACTTATTTCGTTGATCAAGTTCAGATATTTTTCTTTCTTACGCACTGCATTGTTGTTAAGGTTGGACTCGAAACCGACTGTTAATTCTAGAACATACAGGCACTTGGACTGGATTAGGAAAAGAAGATCTGGACGATAATTTTCACCAGTTATTATTGAGGGATTCAGAAAACCATTAACATCTGCATAGAGTGAAGAGTTGAAGTGACTTGGCAATGAAGTTAAGGATTGAGTCGTGTCTCCAGGTAAAGCGGTCAAGGTAATGTTGACAACCAGCGACAACATGAAGGAGTGATTCAGGATTAAGACAAAAGGAGCAATCAGGACTTTGTGATAATAATAATAATAATAATAATAACGACAATAAGTGAAAATAAATGTTTGTAAGAAGTTTGAGACTTCATGCAAATCAACAAGGATGAAGTTGGAAACATACTTAAGAAACACTCCCTCCTCAATTAGTACTTCACCAAAAGACCAACAACAAGCCTTATTCCATCCAAAAAAGATGCAGACAGATTCAGAAGAGAATTTGACACACAAAACCTCGACAGGGCAGCAAATGAAGCAGTTATAAAATATGTGAAGAGAGTGATGAAAAGGCAAAGCAGCCCTTGATATGGAAATAAAGTAGTGGGAAGAAAGAAAATCACGGACGATAACCGAAAAGAATAAGAGAAGCGGATGCTGATGATCACAAAACCAACGAACGGCTCAGAATTAAGGGGCTGAAAGCTGTAAAAATTGTAAATTTCATATTATCCACTCCCCTCAAGGCTTTTCAGAGATAATTTACAACTCTGGTTGGCAGACTTTGCCAGACTGCTCAAGGTGCAGCTTACAAGTAATGAAGGAATGAGTAATGATGCCCTTATACGTGAGTGTGAAAGTGAGATAGACCACTACACCGGGCACTACGTGCTCTACTCTTTACGAAGAGTGCGTGGGTTCTTTAACGTCCCACAGATTTATTGCATGTGCAAGGGCTTGTGAGACGGGGCCTACGGTTTATCGTCCTTATCCCAGAAGACTGGAAAGTCAAACCGTTTGCAGATGTTATTACAAAGGCAGCACTTTCTCCTCAGTTATTTAAAGTCCCTGAGTGTTGGTCCGGCCGGGGTTTGAGCCGACGGCCTCCCGCTCAGCATACAAGCGCTAATCCCATTGAGCTAACCGAGTGGCTAAGAGAAAGGGTCTAATAATTGCAACCCCTCCCTCCCAAGTCTTTTTTTGCAAGAATTGTAAAGAATGACACCAGCCCACTATGCAGGGTATGCAATAAGCAAGAAGAAACGGTCGATCATCTTATATCTGTGTGTTCCGAGCTTACAAAAACTGACTACCTAGAGAGGGCTAATAAGGCAGCTGCATATTATCCACTGGAGGGATACAGAGGTAGTATGAACACAAGCCTGAGACTGTCACTGAAAATGAAGAACTTCAAATTCTTTAGGATATGCAGATACATAAGTAAAGAGAGTTGTCTGCAAACAAGCCCTGATATATTGTTCAAGGACCATGATACCAACCGCGGTTGCAAGCTTATCGATGTGTTAGTACCATCCGACACAAACACCTCTACTAAGGTCATTGAAAAAGCCTCGAAACACAAAGACCTTGAGATAAAAATCACGAAAATGTGGGGAATGAAGACAGACTGTGCTAGTTAATAGGGAGCTTAAGCAACAGCTACGACGACAGCAGTGAAAACATCACTAAAAAAATGAATTTGCGTCCTTTCAAACTTTATCGCCTCTATTTGGAACCACTCAATTCGTCAAATGTAAGCGACTTTTCCTGGAGTTGAATTCTTAGGGGCTTTATCCATGTTCAAATAGAGAAAGTAAATTTGTCGTCGTATGTCCACGTTTCCATAAAAGGTCGCATCGGGCGGTTTCACGTCGTAGTCATGCAGTGGACGTCAAATAAATGTACTAAAAAGTGTGATGCACGTGCAGAGCTGTTGTTTTGCTCATAAAACCAATTGTTTTTTGACGTTGTCGTTGTCGTCGTCGTCGTTGCTTACGCTCTCTATTATTGGTACACTGGGACTCATGAATGATTGAATGGATCAGAATTTACGAAAGATCCTTGTAGCTATAAACATGATTGCGTTTGCCTTCACAACCTAAAGAAATAACAGGCTGTGATACACCTCTTAAAAGAAACATAGGGACAGTCCTGTTATCAAACACAGAAATATTAACGGTTGTGATATTGCAAATGATTTCGGTGAAGTGCAAGACCGCAATGCACACTGGTTGAAGGTGCCCCTTTAAACTGTATATTAAGAAAAAAAATTACAAATTTGAGCAAAATGGTCGGTTTGAATAACAGAAGACAAAATAGCTCCTGTATAGGCCGCGTTTACAAGGGTCTGGTCAAACGGACAAAAACTTACACGGATCTGTCTTTCATTTACACGGGACCCACGTAACCGTTCAAGTTTGTTGCTCAGTTCCGTGTAAACGGCTTGCATAGGTAAAAATTCGTCCTTTCGAAAATTGCCTGGACCCGTGTAAGTAGACGTTAAGCTTACAAGTCGGCGTCCTGTACAACAGTTTCCTTCAGCGACATTTTAATATACCAAGTTATTCCCCTCCAATTTCCGAGCTGTTGTTAACGTTTCTTAGACTACCAGTAGTCCCCATTTTTCATCAGGGATAGTAGAGCGAGCGGAACGCGAACGCTCGTCAAAATCACCCCACGCGAGAAAAGAGAGATGCGGTGGGGAGAAAGAAAAATGGGGACTACTCGTAGTCTAAACGTTTCTACGCGAAAAAATAAAATTTATAGTCTTGAACAACAAAGCAGTTTGCAAAGCGAGGGCGCTGCAAGATACAGGCACCTATAAAAGCCGGGAAATTTGGCGCGAAACTCTCTAGCTGTATTTTTCACGCAAGTGGAAAAACGTCATTCGCGAGTCGGATTGGACGTATCACTTTTTTCAATTGTAACAATCATATAACGACAACTTTATTTGGTGAGTATATCTCAGTATGTAAATAATGAATGAAATTTGCTATACTCACGTTCTCGATTTTTTATCTTTCTTCCCTACATGTGGCAACATTTAAAGTTTATTGCCTTTCAACATGTAATAATAAGTTGCTACATGACAATTTATAGGGACCCCCTAGTTTTTCTCGTCGTGAGGTAGAAATTAGAAAATGCTTGTTACATTTCGTTGGCGGTTTGAAAGATTACACGCAATGACAAAACTGAGGTCTTTTGTCTCTCAAAAACCCACAGATAATCACCTGCTATCCCATCGCTAATATAATATATTCCAATGGCTTTCTGAAAATTCTGCAATGAGCTTAGGAATCATACTCTGAGTTTTCTTGTCCGTTTTTTAATTTAGATTTTGTTGCTTTATAATCAATCGAACATACATTAGACAACAAATATAAATAGAAATTACCTGCATAAAACGAACAAATAATATCACATTTACAAATTGGCGCCGTCTGCAATCGGCCTTAAGTAGGATGATTGCTACATGCTAATAATACTATGACAACAAATTTATTAGCGAGAAATTGTATTCTTAACTCGTTAGTATGAAAGATGCGGTCTTTCCTGACATCAAGCGATCACTACTGTGACAATGAGGCTTTTTAAGAGATTAAAACCTCAGAATCGCGGGAAACTTTGGAAAATGATATTCAACGATCCCTTCGTTTTCAAAGGCTTGTTTGGCTAAAACGATTGTTTCGTCAGAACTGTGTAAACAAGCTCTAAAACCGACCGTACACCTGTCTCATCAGCGCGAGTGCCAAGGACGGGCCTATTGAAACGGATCGTAACAGATATAGGACCAAGCC